AAAGCGCTGGCGCCGCCCGTCCAATGAGCATCCGACGTGCCTATTACCGTATATTCTGCACGCAAACGCTTGACCCCCTGGCATTACCCATGATGCGACAATGGATCATATCACAATTATATATTTTTTATTTTACAAAAGATGTCACTATGATCAAATGGACATGTAGCCAAGACATGAGATAGCTCAAATGGACATGTAGCCAAGACATGAGATAGTTCTAATGCACGATCGGTAATTCTGCCAAGTGGGCGCCCGTCCGCTGGGACACTCCGCTACTGCCCGTGGTGCCAGCCCAACAACATCCGCCTCTTATTTGTTTGTCCACTCATTCTACAAATGTTCTAAAAAACTCACCTCATTGCAGCGCCGTGACAACACTCCGCGACCACGCTTTGCCGCACCACCTCGATGATCGTGTCTCTGTCTCCATCATGCTTCTGCTCCATTGGCCGGCATCTCCACCACGCCTAAGCGTGGGAGCTGGTCTTCCTCCCTCTTCCACTGTGCCTCCCGCTCGCCATGGCCTTCTCCAGCGCGCGAACCCACCTGGCCTTCTCCACCAAACCTACCGCGGCCTTCTCCACTGGAGCGCCGAGCTTTGCGCCATTAGTGAACTCCACGATCCGATGAGCATCCATTTGCAAGCAGCAAGGAGATGTTGCACTGAAAGAGCATGTTGCAAGCGTATCTTTCAAGTGTTTCAGATATTCTATAGGTATGTTGCAAGTGTTTCATATGATTGTTGCAAAAGTAGATCAGGATGTTACATATGTTGCAATGGTTGTACACATATGTCGCAAGCTTCTGTTCCTAATGTTTTATCTATTTTTTCAGATAAATGTTGCAAGTATGTTTATTTGGATGTTGCATATGTTTCACACATATGTTGCATGTGTTTATCTGGATATTGCGTATGTTTTACAATGGTTGCAAGTGTTTTAGGTGCATATTTTAAGTGTTTCATCTGTCTTCGGATGTATGTTGCAAGTGTTACATCTGGATGTTTCAAATGTAGATCGGGTGTTGCATCTCCCTCCTCACCTTCTGCTGCCTCGCCTCGGTATCTCCTCATCCTCCCGGCATCGGCTAGGCATCCAAACCAAAGGCATAGGTGGGCACTGCCTTCTCTCCCTCTTCTCGATGCTAGTGACGTTCGGGGTGGCACGGGCCCCATGTAAGGCGCGCGAAATGGAGTGCGGACGTGGGCGTCCGTCCTGATGTCCAAGTGCTAGCACTATCGATGCATGATACCTTGAGAACTAAAAACTATTTTTGAATAAAATCACAATCTCTGAGGAGCAAAACCCATGGTAATCTGGACTTTACGTTATATTGACTCTAAAAGAATTAGCTTCACACAAAGCGAATGAATACTGAACCAAAGCTTTGGCCAAACCGGCAAAGATAAAAATAAATTGACATCGAACTCTAAACATCGAGCAAAGAAAACACCACCAGAAAAGACCTCACCGCCCATGAACAAAGTGAGTCAATAAAACATTGCTCGTTGTTAAAGATTCTAGATACTAGAACGTGGCAACAACTCCAAGCTCATTGAACGACGTCTAACCTCACAACGTGCACCTCAAGGGGATCATACCCAAATGACGTCTCTAAGAAGAAAACAAAAATGACAGCAAACACATTTGTCATTGCACAAATGACTGGAGGTAGGATTCACCCGAATCGATCACAGCAAGAGGCAAAGGGGCACAGCGATGCTTCCCTTTAGGGGAGTGGCGTCCATAGTCATCACCACCATCAAGAGTGAGCAACGGGATCTCCATCATTTCCCACAACGCCCTCCCACCATCCACTAGAACCGAATAGGAGTTGACAAGTTGTTACGCCAAACAACATTCCTCGAGGATACGTAGGGTCGAGACGACGGATTAGAGGGGGTGAATAGTCCTTTCTAAAACTAATTGCGTCGGCTAACCAAAACAAATGTAGAATTAAAACTATCGATCTAGCCAAGACTATACCCCTCTATCTAAGTACTCAAGCACCTTACAAAGATCCTAATTAGACAATAAAGGTGCCGGGCTAGCTAGAGCTCACCTAACAATTTTAGCTTGCAAGGTCACGCAAACCTATGTAACTAGTACTTCAAGCAACGGGGGAGCTCCTACACAATTCTAGTGAAGCAAAGCGCACAAAACTCCTATGCTCACTAGCAAAACTCAATAACAAGGCAACTAATGCCAAATTAGAGAGCGCAAATTACTTAGCTATACAAACTAAGCAATGTGACTAATAAGGTTACTCAAACTGAATTAGTCACGCAAGGGAGCTACTTCTACGCTACACAAGCTCAAAGGTAACTAGCAAACTACACAAGTCAACTAATTACAAGAGCAACTACACAAGCACAATGTATGAAAAGTAAATACAAGCTTGTGTAAAGGGGATGCAAACCAACAGAAAGACAAGGATGACACGGTGATTTTATCCCGAGGTTCACGTGCTTGCCAACACACTAGTCCCCATTGTGTCGATCGCTCAGTTGGTGGTTCGGCGACTAATTGGCATCACCTGCCAAGCCCGCATGCCGGGCACCACAAGAACCTACCCCAAAAGTGAGGGTAGCTCAATGACATGCTCCACTAGAGTTGCTCTTCGCGATCCCCGCGGGATGAGCATAATCCCCCTCACAAATTCTCCTCCGGAGCACCGCACAATCTTCTCATGTGCTTCAACGGAGTCACAAGCCACCAAGGCGTCTAGGAGGTGGCAACCTCCAAGAGTAACAAGCACCACCGGCTTGCAACTCAATCACCTAGTGCCACTCGATGCAACCTTACGATGCAATCGCACTAGAATTGCACTCACACTAAATCAGATGAACACTATCAAGCAAATATGAGATGGAGGGCTCCCAAGCACACCTACACAACCCACCAAGGCTTAAGGGTGCTCAGCTACTAGCCCAAGGGCGGCCAAGTGCTCTATTTATAACCCCACGAACAAATAGAGCCGTTACCCCTTCACTGCGCAGAAAACACACTGACCAGACATGTCCGACAATACACCGACGTGTCCGGTCATTGTACCACTTCCTCCGTGGCACTAGCCATTTGAAATAGCTATTATTGTCAGCGGTTAACTCGCTCATGCGTTGAACATTGACTGACCGGACGCACAGGTCCATGATCAGACGCACCCGCGCGGAGTCCGATCGCCTGCATGCCACCTTGCTCAGCACCGAGACCGGACGCACCACTACATGACTGGCGACGCGGCCGGCTAGAGTCCGATCGACTCGATGAAGGGTCCGAGATAGAAAACAATGACCGAACGCAGCGTCGATGACGGCCGGCCGGGGCGTGCCCGGCGTCAATCCTCTCTGGATTAACTCCCACGTGCCACGTGACCATGACCTGACGCATGAACAGTGTTTTGCCTACGTCCGGTCACCTCCTCGAACCTAAGTTCGATCACGCGCCTCAGGTGATCACGTCTGGCCAGAATACCAGATACATCCAATATTGATATTGGACGCGTCTCTCATCGCTGCCGGACGCCCGAGCACAGGTAAATACCGGGACGTGTTCGGTCGCTATGTCGAGACGCGTCCGGGTCACCCGTGACCAGCGCTTTCAACTCCTATTCTTCACCAACTTCTTCTCCTTTGCAAATGTGCCAACACCACCAAGTGTACACCACCATGTGCTTGTGTGTTAGCATTTCACAAATATTTTTCAAAGGATTAGTCACTCAATTTACTACGCCACTCGATCCTAGCAACGATGCAAAGTTAGATCACTCGAATGGCACTAGATGACCGATATGCAAACAAGTTTGATCCTCTTGATAGTATAGCCATCTATCCTAAACCCGGTCATAAACTTATCTACACACATATGACCGGGAAAACAAAATGCCCTATAGGTTATACATTTGCCTTGCGCATTCGATTCCATCTCCTCCAATGTTGATGCAACACATGCACGAACCTTGATCAACAAATAATATGATCCACTTCATATCATCAGGTGACCTTATTGGTTCATCGATCTTGACCTCACTTGCTTTTCACCGTTGCCTCCGTCCATCGACGCCAAGTCCTCCACCATAAGGGCAAAGGGTTTTTGTGGTGAAAATTTTCATCACAAAAGCTTATTTTTTCGCCACAAACCAGCTTTTGTGGTGACTTTTTTAATCGTCACTAGTCGCCACAAATACTCACCTCACAAATACTCTAGTGATGATTTTTTGTTCCCCACAAATATCCATACTCATTAGTGACAAATTGTACCGTCACTAGTAACGTGGCCATTTGTGGCCCATTCGTTGCCATAAAAACATACGCATTAGTGGCAAAAAATGATGCTACTTATAATGTTTTTTAGTGGTGATACTAGTTGACACAACTATATAGAATTTATGGCAATATAATTGTCACAATTACCATTGTAAAAGTGACAAAATTTATGGTCACTAGAGACTACATATTAGTGAGGGAAGTTTTGCCATTACATGAGTTTGTCGTGTCGATGCTTGTTCTCACTATTACATTATAATTGTGTCTAATGGTTTGCCACAATATGTATGGGAAAAAGAGGTAACTTGTTGACACAAATAATTTTCATTTGTGATGCAAACTCATCCTAACATGTAAATTACGGTGGCAAACCTTTATCACACAAAATTACCTTTTTGTGAGAATTGACCAGACAAATTGTATCAATAGTTTCATAAAAAAAGCATAGTATTTATAGGAGAATATTTGTAAGGACAAATTTTGTCACAAGATAAGTTTCAATTGTGTGAAACACATTAGATGTTGTGGCGGCTGAATTATCATTATTATCCTTGTTATAGTGTCAAAAATAGCTCAACAGATATACATTATAGCAATATGATTCTCTCAAATCTGTACCAATAATATTTATTTCAATAATTCAAATTTGGCAATCAAGCAGTACATAAAATTGAGAACAGTCAACCCTCAAAATAACTCTCTTGACACTACTTTATAGTCTCACAATAACTATTCAACCAATAAAGGGCTTAAACTCTAAGATAGGGACTGAGGCACCAGAATGTATGCGTGCAATTAATTCAACCATTTGATGATCAAGTTGTTCTCTCACTAGGCGAGCAACTTCTCCACTCTGTGCTTGATGTAAAGAACTAAGCTCATCACGTTGGGATTGCTGCTCTTTTTGCAAATGTGCATTTGTTTCGACCACCGTGGAAACTTGGCCTTCCAAAGCTTGTGCTCGTTGCTCGGCGGCCTCAACACGTTGCTCAGCAGCATCTGCACGTTGAGTATTGCAAAGGGCGAGATTCGGTGGAGCCAGGTAGGAGCAAGGATGGCTGGAGACCATGGGCGAGCTCGTCGGTGCGGAGCAGAAGCAGCATGCTTGGGTCCGCCGGAGACACTCGTCAAGATAGGCGGCTACGACCGTGGGCGAGCTCGCTGAGCGCTGCACGTGCGAGCTTCGGCGGAGCCATGGGCAAGGACATCGACGGGCGGCAACTATGGGCGAGCTCGTCGGCGCTTGGCAGAGCTGCGAGCTTGGGGGTGGCCGGAGTCCGGAGATGCTCCGTTCAACAGTTGCAGCCGCAGAGAACGATGGAGAAAAGGAAACAAGATAAGGTGGAGTTTGACTGACATGTGGGACCTATGATAATAGGGTAACTAGTGACAAAAAAAGAATATTTTGCCACAAATTTTTCTTACTAATCGTGTACCATGTGTCTGAGCAGAATTTTGTCACTGATAAATGTATTAACAGTGGGGGGGGATTATTTAGTCACAATTAATATGGTAAATAGTGGCAAAATCTAATTTTGCCATAACATTTTCTTACTAACCTTGAACCAAGTGGCCATATAATATTTTGTCAATGATAAGTGGCATAATTGTGAGAAAAAATATTTAGTCACTGATAAATTGCATAACTGTAGGAAAAAATATTTAGTCACAGTTAACATATTTATTAGTGGCCAATTAATATTTCTCCACTAAATTCGCCACTAAAGGTGCATCCTGTAGCAATACAGTAGTTTGCCACTAATAATCGACAAGATAGTGATGAAAATTAGTTTGGTCACCAATAACATGGGAATCAGTGACAAAATAAAATTTCGCCACCACATTTCATCACTGATGCTCGGTCTTCATGTAGTGCTCGACTTGTCCTTCACTCTTGCAACCGGTCCTTCAAGTCAAGTCTTGTCTTGATCTTTTCCACCTTAGTCACATGACTCAATGTCATGTTGAAAGGTCCTAATGGCTAGAGGGGGGGTGAATAGCCTATTAAAAAATTCTACAACAACACTTAACAAACCGGTTAGACAATTATGAGGCGAAGCAAGTGTTGCGCTAGCCTACTAAAAATGCAAGCCACCTATCACAATTCTAGTTTAAATAGTTTCTATCCACACAATAGCTATGTCACTACACTAAGTTAGTGTGCTCTCAAAGACTAACTAAAGAGCCACACTAACCAAACTAACAAGCTCTCACAACTAGCTACACTAAAGAGTTTGACAACTAGTTTGCGGTAATGTAAAGAGAGTGAGCAATTTGTTTATACCGCCGTGTCGAGGAAGGAGCCAATCAATCACAAGAATAAATACCAATGAAGACCAATCACCTCGGAATCAAATAATGAACACAATGATTTTGTACCGAGGTTCACTTGCTTGGCGACAAGCTACTCCTCGTTGTGGCGATTCACTCACTTGGAGGTTCACGCGCTAATTGGCATCACATGCCAAACCCTCAATAGGGTGCTGCACAACCAACACAAGATGAGGATCACACAAGCCACGAGCAATTCACTAGAGTACCTTTTGGCTCTCCACCGGGGAAAGGTCAAGAACCCCTCACAATCACCACGATCAGAGCC